CAATTTGGTTGAAATTCTGAGAACTTCCGAAGAAACTCAGGTTTCCGACCAGATTCTTTTGGTGTTGGAGATTATTTCACCGGAAAATGGAGTGAAAGAATTACTGAACGAAAAGATTTTGAAAAGCGATTTCGATTACTTGTCCAAATTCTTCTGGTTTTTTCGGAAAGGTAGCTTGAGCTCGAGGATTGCATCCGCTAAGATTCTCGAATCAATCGCTTCTGACGCCGATTCTCAAAGGAAAATCGCCGAAAAACAAGGATTATTATTCGAATTATACAAATTAAGCAACGAAGAAACCGATAGCAGCGCCGTCGAAGCAAGTTTATCAGCTCTGATCGCAGTATCAACCTCGAAAACGGCGAAAAAGGAGCTGGTCCGGTTCGGAATCGTTAAAACCGTGGGGGAGATTCTATCCGGTTCAGAAGCGGCTCGACCGGTTATAGAAAAGGCCGCGGAGGTATTGGCATCAGTTGCCACGTGTACGGACGGGAGAGCTGCGATTAGTGAAGACGAGGGGTGCATTATGGGAGTGGTTAAGAGATTAATGAAGTGTTCGGGTGTGGCGACGGAGCATGGGATTGTGGTGCTCTGGAGCTTGTGCTGCTTGGCTCGAGATCGGACGGCTCAGGAGGCTGTGTTGAAAGTCAACGGCGTGACCAAAGTGCTGTTGGTGATGCAGAGTGATTGTAGCGCCGGCGTGAGGGAAATGTGTGGTGACTTGGTCAAGGTTTTGAGGGTGAAGAATTCCAAGTCGTGTTTGGCTAGTTATGAAACTAGGACCACACATATCATGCCTTATTGATTGAAATTGAATGCTGTTGAATAGCGACTAGTGTTAGTACGTATTTGATTGACTAAAATGGTTAACCATGACAAAAACCAACTTGTTTACTCATTTGTTTCTCTTAGTGGAGAATTGGCATACTTGTAGTTGAAAAGGTGGACTACCATACCACCAACTTGTAATTTGTAAATGGGAAGTTTTTGCTTTGACTTGGAAATTACAGTGCAAGAAGAATCATCAATACACAAAATCTCCTCGATTGATACTCTCAACTTTGTGCTATATGTACTTTTTTTTTTTAAATTTTTTAATTTTTTCTAGCAAAGGAATGATGGGATTCAAGGAGATAAAAAAGAACGGAAGATTAAAATTCAAAACCTCGAACCTGCTATATGTACATTTGTCTTCTCTTTTTTAAGATTTTCTTGTGTAGAGGGTTCTTTTTGTTATCTACAAAATGCTTTAGCATTGTTGTTTATGAACGGGCTCCTAATCAAAAGTTCTGCTTTGTTCTGGATGATTGCACATGTGATTGGTGGTATATTGGCATCTCAAACATTGTCAAGAATGTAGTAAGTGAAAATAATTGTGGTCATCCCTTTAGAAAGCTTCAATTTGATCAACAGCCAGTACATGTTTTAAATTCCATTGATCACATGCATACGTGGTGTGAAAATGAGTGTGAAAGAGTTCTTTAATTTCGTTAGAAAATTGCGAATTCAGGGTTAGTCAATCATATGCCGTAAGCCAGGAAATTATATGCTTTCTTTAGATAGATCCAAAAAAAAAAATTATTAACAAGTCATCTTCCAAAGAAAGCGACGTTAAAAGACTTCTAAATGCGTGTGCGTCTATATATATTTTCTTTTTTTTTTTTTTTGGAATACTTAACAACTCCCATACCATTTTAGGTGAACTAGAAAATTTTGGGTAGAGATCTCTTTAAGGGAAAGAGAGAAGAAAAATTCAGTTAAACTAGAGAAATGCATGATACACATTTTGGTTTGAATACAAAAGTTGAATCTCTTTCTCCCAATAAAAATAGTATTGCTATAGATGAAGTCTACAGTTTCACATAAGAATCTTTTTCTTTTTTTAAGTGTAAGCAGAAGTATCAAAATGGGTGATTTGGGCGGGTTGAAATGAGTAATAGGTATAAGTGAGTCAAAAAAATGAGTTGGATAACCCAATTACTCATTTGTAACCAATTTATTTTAACTTTTTGTAAACTCATTGACATTCAATTTTGCAAACTGAATTATCAATTTATACCACCATTTGCATCCATCATCAGTTTTAAATATTTATTTATAATATTCAATAAGCCTAATTACCAATTTTTTCACGTCCGTGCTCTATATTGTAAAATTACATGCTATTTAATAATTGAACAATAAGAATATAAAAATTTGAACTAAGTACTATGAAAATTAACATAAAAACTTCATCCAAAAACTTTGAATCCTTAGCATTTTTTTCATGTGTGAATGTAAAATTTCATTTTGAAAAGATAGGAAGGGAGGCTAAAACTTATCATACATTGGTAATGCTAACAAATGAGCTAGTTAACAAATTACAAGAAAATAAAATGATAAAATAAAGCAACAAATAATAATAATAATAAATTAAACAAAAATAGTTAACATCATGACAAAATGAAGAATATGAAAAAAAAATTAAGTAGGATATCTATATGCGTCAAAAATCCATCAAATATTTGTTAAGGCTGAAAAATAAAACATTCTACTATATACAATGTTTTAGCAATATTAATACATGAAAGTCTCCAACAATGAGTTCAATAATAAAACGCAGGTCTCAAACTCTAAATGGGTTATGGAAGAGTGGAGGCTTGGGAAAGACAATTTTAAATGGGTTAATTGGGTTTGGTAAGTTATCTAATTATATCTATTTATTAAGTGGATATTATTGGGTAACTAATTTATACCCCATATATAAAAATTTAAGATACTCGTATCCAATTATTCATGAGCGGGTATGGATAAATTTAGTTAAATGGATTTCTTTGCTACTTATAAGTGTAAGTAGGAGTTCGAACTCGAAATCTTTCATTTACACTCCCTCCTCCTGTACCATCTAACACATCTCTCCCATTACAAAAGAAACTATTTGATGCTTGTAAAGTCTAATGGCTTGAAATTTATGTTGCTAGCTTATTCTTGCAACTATCAATTGCTCTATTGTTAATACTACGGTAGTTGCTTAGGATTTTGAATCTTGTAATTATGATATTCATTTTCAATTTTTGACTAGGTTTACTGGTAGACAAAAGATGTTAGCGAACGTCAAGTTTTCCCAAATAGAAAATGGGCTTTACTTTTCTCGGTCTTAGGGAGGGGGCATTGGATGGATGTTAGACAATAGCCAGATGAACTAGCTTATGGCTTTAACCTGGGTCAATAGCCTGTCAAAATACTAGATTGGGCCTCTTTGTTTATGTACAAAAAGAACAAGAATGAAGCTGATTTTGTTATTGGACGTGACAAGATTGGGCTAAGTCTTCCTTCTGAACAGGCAACGATGTGATCCAATTAGGGAATTTCAAACGAAAAACAGAGACAAAAATGAACTCTAGAAGAAATTTACAAGGCATCCAATAAACTGAGAGTAGAAAATGCTGAAACACGTAGAACTTTGGGCTGATGGCCACCACCTAGCTTTGTGGGGTGGACCTTGCCTTCTACCAAAATGCCACATTTAAGTGGTCTGCTTCAAAAAAATTCAGGCGGGTGTGTTGTGCACCCGTTTGATCCGGTGGTGGTTTAGTTCCCTCCGGATTATCTCTGGGTCTCCTTAGGTCCACCCCCTCCCCCTTAGTGTAGCATAGATTAGATTATACAACTGTTGTCGTCTTCGAAAAAAAATTGTAGAACTTAATCAGGAGGGTGATTTTGATAAGAAATTCTTATTAACTTTTATTAAGTAGAAAGGATTATTAGTAAAGCACCAGATGTCTACCGGAGCAACTTCCTCCGCCTTGTATGTTGATTGAGCAAAAATTCAAGCTATGAAAAGAAAAAATCTTCTTCAATTGGATTATCAGTTTTAGAGAAACTATACACAAAACACATATATCATTTTGTTTTCTTAAAAGGGAAACTCCTGAGCAATCATCACTAAGCCTTATTATGTCTGTTGGTCAATTAACCGATTGAGAATTTAGAGACGCAGGATAGATGAGAACTATGATTAACAAACCACAATTCCATTTCAGCGCCTTGGCTCCTAGCATCGACTTATTATTGCTCAAATTTAGCAATGTTTGAGTAATTTAAAAAAAAAAAAAAACTGGGGAGCCTCTAAACTATCACATCGTTGACTTTTGATCCATGATCTAAAATTTGTCTCTGATTGATTCTTGAACAATCAAAGGTTTCTAGTTTAAGAACTTCTAACCATTTTAGATATAAGTTCACATGGAATCGAAGGACATTTTTGCCAATCATAATAAAAAAAGAAAACCCTTCAATTTTTTTTAATCTCACCATCAATTTGTCCACAAATCCCTGAAAAATAGTTGGTTCTCTGAGAGAAAGAGATGATTATGTTCTTGTAATTTTGCTCCCAATGCTTTTGATTACGGGTGGACAAAAATGCCTTTCAATTCCATATGGACTTGCGTCTAAAATGGCCAGAAGTTTTTAAATTATGCACTTTTACTTGTTCAAAATTCAGTGGGAGATAAAAATTAGATCATGGGCAAAAAGTGGACAACAGTGATGGTTTAGGGCTTCTAGATTTTTTAGTGTTTTACATCATATAGGTTAGCAAATTCACACAAAAATCTTAACAAACATCAGCAATTTTCTTTTTAGATACATTGAAAAAATGTGCAGTGAAGAACAAAGAAGGATTTTTTCCTCTTCATCCAAGAATGCGATGCAAAAGTTTTGCATATATTTCTCTTCTAATGAAATCACATTAACATATCAATTACTGCATTTCACACCATAATAAACTGCCTTTAACCTAATTTCTTGGCCAAACTCATTCTAATCTCTATGTTGCTTTTCCTTGTTACTATGTTGCCCTCAATTCAACAAAAAAACACACCCATAGATCATGTCTCGTTTAAAGATGGTTTTTGGATTTTATTCTAAAATTTTCTAAATTGAGTGATTGGAAGAGATGCAAAAAGATGCTTCAAGATTGCTTTACCTAGTACCTACTTGGCTGCTTCTACACCTGGCTTTCCGACACAGTATCCAAACGCCTCCCAAGTATTCTCCATCACCTCATTATGACCTGAATGAAACAACTCTGGTAGCAGCGACCAATCCCCACAAATGGAAATTAGCACCAGCAAACCCCTCGGCTTTCTCTCATCAAATTCACAAACTTCATCAACTTTCCAAGATTTCAATACCCTCTTCAACAATCTTAACACCACCCTCTTATCCACCAGCACCTCATCCCTCCGTCGCCTCACAAATACCCCATGTAAAGCAGAGAAAATAAAAAATGGTCAAAATTTCAGCCCAAAAAGGATTCTTCAATTTTCATCGACTTCAATCTCCATTCAACCTGAAATCAAAAACCCAGAAAACCCCACTTCTCGAATTTGGCTAAAACCAGCCTCAAGAGGCTCTCCCCAAGTCTATGCCCTGTTCAAGAATCTCTCTGTTTTGGAAAAAGCCCTCATGGGTGCTGCTGGTGGAGGCATTGCTGGTGCATTCACTTATGTCTGCCTCCATCCTCTTGACACAATCAAGACTAAGCTCCAGACAAAGGGGGCATCAGAAATTTATAGTGGTACAGTTGATGCCATTGTTAAGACCTTCAAAACCAGGGGAATTTTGGGGTTCTATAGTGGAGTTTCTGCGGTGATTGTTGGTTCTACGGCTTCTTCTGCTGTGTATTTTGGGACATGTGAGTTTGGAAAGTCAGTTTTGTCGGAAATCCCTCAATATCCAGCTGTTTTGATACCCCCTACTGCTGGGGCTATGGGGAATATTGTTTCATCAGCTATAATGGTACCTAAGGAATTAATTACTCAGAGGATGCAAGCTGGTGCAAAGGGGAGGTCTTGGGAGGTTTTATTGAAAATTTTGAAAAAAGATGGAATTTTGGGATTGTATGCTGGATATAGTGCTACATTGCTGAGAAATTTGCCTGCTGGGGTGTTGAGTTATTCATCGTTTGAGTATCTTAAAGCTGCGGTATTGAATAGTACTCATCAGGTTCATTTGGAGCCATTTCAGAGTGTCTGTTGTGGTGCATTGGCTGGAGCCATATCAGCTTCACTGACAACTCCTTTGGATGTGGTTAAGACAAGATTGATGACTCAGGTTCATGGGGAGGCTGTGAATAAGGTTGCAGCTGTAATGTATAGTGGTGTCTCAGCTACTGTTAAACAGATTTTGAAGGAAGAAGGCTGGATAGGGTTTACACGAGGAATGGGGCCTAGAGTTGTTCATAGTGCCTGTTTTTCTGCAATTGGTTACTTTGCCTTTGAGACAGCTAGGCTCACAATTTTGCATCAGTATTTGAAGCAGAAGGAGCTTCAGAACATGGCTCTTGATTCTTCATCCACGGTCAATCAGAGTGAATAAAGTGGCAACGAGGTGCTTTGCAAGTGCATCTGGGTAATTCCTCCTTTTCATTTCCAATTATATTAATTTACGCATCCTTTCTTCTGGTTCTTCACTGCTTATGCTTGATTTTTTAAGAACGCTTGACCTCTTCAGAGATGCTGCTTTATGGTATCTGTTTCTTTGTATTTTTTTGAATCTCATGTAGTCTACAGATCATTATATCTTGTCGAAAATTCTATACTTTACAAAGAATACCTGAATCAAACCTTATAAAGTCCTTCTGCTCTAATAAAACTTCTGTTAACGTACCTAATTTGGAGTGATTTCTATACTATTCTTCTTTCTGTGTAAAATTTTGGTTTGTTAGTATTTGGGGCATAAGTAAACCTTCGTCAGTAGCTAAGGGAGCAAGTTGTCAGTTAAACTGTAGTATGCGTCCATCTAATTTGGTGTCTGATTATAGGAACTAATCGAAACCCTATTCTGTCAGCAGGTCGGATCAATGACAGAAGATGCATTTGTAGAAACTTACTTAGACTGGCCATTTGTAGGAACTATTGAGTTTATGATTTTGCTTCACTTTAAGATCTGAAAATTCCTTGTCACTTTGTCACTGCGCTTTTGCCTTGAGCAGGTTATGGTGATATGCAAGGCTCAGGAAGGCCAAAAGCTAAGACGAAAAGTAGTGTTAGGCGGTCTTTTATTGTTTTTGGTGGGTAAAAGAAGTTCATTAATTGAAAAACCAAAGGTCAGTTACAATCATTCAAGGAAATTTATCTCATTGTGCTCCATCTATACAAAATGTGTTAACTACAGGTTGAGGAATACAAGAAAAAAGGGAAAAAAAAAATCCAATTCCTATGCCACTCCCATATTAGCTAACCAGTCCACCATTCTGTTTGATTCCATGTAAACATGCTTAAGCTTGACTTGGGTTATCTGCTGGATTAAAGGTCTGCAATGAGGAGCAATTAAAGAAAGGAAATGTCAATCAGTATGGTTACTAAGCAATATATCAACAACTTACTTGGAGTTAGATTCTGTAATGATGTGAGTGAACTTGAATCAGCAACAACAAGGAGATTGTAACATCCTGCATCAGTTTTATCTCTTAATCATGTTATGACTGCTTTGACCTATAAAAGGTCCAATGTCTGTACTATTATTCTGACATTGCCGGGTGTTGGAGCTTTCACACTTTTCTTTTGAACTGAGCCAATAATGAAGAGATATTTATGCCCATTGCCTATAGATTCAACTGCATTGAGAATTGTTAACTGGCAAAAAATTGAGCTAAAGAGTTTTTCTGAGCATTGTAGTCTTTGTGAGTTAATTTAAGTGAAAAAAATTAAAGTTGGTTAATCTTACTTATTTTCTTATTTTTATTTATTATGATGACTAATGCCTGGAAAGTGTGCATATTTTCAAAAGTTGAATTTGATTCTGTTGTTTTTATTTTCTCAAATTGCATTTTAGAACATACAGTATGAGTTTGAAACAATTATGAGCTCGAATTTGACTTATTCAGGTTCATGAACCTTATCATGCTAAGGTTGTTATAAGCAAATCAAAGGGCTGAGCATGAATATGATTGATAGTGGGAACTGAGAACATGAATGAGCTGACCATGAAAGCCTTTTAAAACAGATAAGTGAACAATCAATAGAATTGAGCAAGGTTGTTGTGCCAAGCTGTCTTTTTAAGCCCAGTAGGTTTATTTGTGAGATTGTTCTGCCATGTGAGACCACTGTAGAAGGGTGAAATTCCACTGTTGAAAAAACAGAGGAATATTTGTATTGCTTGGAGGAAACAAAGTGGAGAGTGATGGATAATGGCTCCCTATAAAAGTCTCATGGTTTACAAGAATGTGGGTTGCACGGAAAGTATGGGGGTGACCATACAGAACTATTAATTTGTCTAGCATCTGATTGGACCCATGTGTGTTTTTGGTTCAAGGTTGCTCAATCAATTACAGTCCATCTTATATTTGAACATCTTCAAGAAGCACTTAAATGGCTGTGTTCTTATTATATCTTATGTCTCAGCTTGGTCATGGAGAGTATCTTGGTGAAACAGTTTCCAATAATAAATGCACTTTTCCACATGCTCTAAACCTTTGCCTGTAATCTTGTTTAAGATCTTCTGATGTTAATGCTTTTCATCATTATTTCTGCATTTTATGTTACAATTGCGGTTTTGATGGTACTTCATGATCTTCATGCTTGGCATTTTTTGGTCTGCACCTATCAAAATGGTCTTATACCCCTGTAATGATATTGCAGTAATTCGACACATCTACACGTTTTTCATTTTTTGATGAGTTGTTAGTCATAGGCAGTGTAACATTTGACGGATCAACAGCAAGAAGGGCAACATGTGTGATGTGGTGGTAGAGACAAAAATTGAGGTGGAGCTACCCACTGTAGCGATCTTAAATGGCTGCCTCAAGATGGGACTTGGCTGAGTTGCAGTTTGATACAAATTCTTGTTATCCCAGTTGTTTCCTCCAATATAAAACTCCAGCTACCTCTGTTGAACTCAAATGCTGAAGTTCTTGGATTCATTTGGTTGCTTTTCTTGGATGATGATGAAGTTCCGCTGAAAGTCTTTTGACACCTGAAAATGTTCTTAAACTAAGCTTTTGTTTGTCATAAGCATTTCAAACAATTTGTTGTATCCATCACAATTCCCCATATGACCCTTAATTTACAGCAGCTCGTACAAACTGAACGCCTACTAGAGAGACAGGAAGACGGAATTCTAATTGTTCTTGAGTTAATGATTATGTCTTCTATCAGGGAAAAAAAAATGTGTTCGTCCTCGCATCCTTTATGTATGGAAAAATCTGTAATAATCTTGTCCTTGGATTGGATTTCCTTCAAGCAATGTGGTTTCTGCTCACACCTACTGCCTACTTCTTGACGTACTTAGTAAGCATGAAGTTGTGCACCCTGCACAGAACCAGAGAATCACCCCTGAACAGGGTAAATTCTATGTCTGTAGTTTTGTACGTGGCTTGTTTCATCATTGCTCATTCGCTAAGAGAACCATTGAAAGGGGTTCTTTTTATTGCTTTTCATGTGGTTATTACTGCAAAAAAACAGCAAATCCATTGAAGGGGAAACCTTCTTGGTGCTGAGCAAACCTGTTACATTTACCTAAGAAAAAGTCTAAACGAAGCATACGATTCTTTCAGATTTTAATTGAATTAATCTTTTGTTATCGCCAACATAAGTTGACTCAATTGATAAGGACGGGTTACTTCTTTACAAGAAGTGAGAGCTTTACAAGAAGTGAGAGCTGTATTGATAGGCGATTTGTAAGAATCTCCATAGGTGACCCATAGTTCTAGAAGCATATTCTAATTATAAATTTCAATAAAAAAGTAAAGTCCAATTTAAGTAGAAAACTCTTTTTATTACTGGTGATTGGAGTCAAACCTACTAACTTTTTTTTTACCTTAAAAAAAAAATAGACAGCACTAACGAAGCACCCCCTAAAACAAATAAAAAATGGAAATTTTTTTTCTTAACCCAGAAAAATGAGGCCTGTTAATAGCAATAGAAGGTTGCTACTACTAGGTGAAACCAGGCAGATGGACAAAAACGAAAAAAGAAAAACGACACAGAAAAAGCCCACAAGACAAGCCCAAGTCCCTCTGACACCAAATCTTTGCGCTCCCTAACATTCCGGTTACTCCAAAGCCTACAACTGATTTCCCCGCCATATTTTTCCACTCCACGTTTCAATTTGCAAGATTCAACCCCTTCTCCCCTCCTCCCCTCCTCATTTTTCTTCGTTTTTTCTGCAGTTATCAACGGGGTTTTTCACTTTCTTGATTCTTGGCAACGTTCTCCAAAATCCCTGGTTGTAAATTGGAGAAAAATCACCCAATCTGTCATTTCTCATGAGCTCCCAAGATCAAAATCAACCCATGAAAATCCTTGAGAAAACTTCCTCCGAGAACTCTCAACTTTCCATTTCTTGATCAAAGTTTGAATCTTGAGCTCCAAATTCCCAGAATGCGTTCATCTTCAACCATACTCATCCGGGCTTATCTTCTTTTTCTCTATGCCTACACTTCATCATCTTTGTCTTCCTCAGCTCCACTTTATTTTCCTGCAAACAATGTCACCCTTTTTGGGGATGCATCCGTTGAGAACGATTCAATCAGACTAACTCAAGATCACGAATGCACTTTGCCATCACAATCCACCCTAGAATCAGCTTCTTCCACCTCTCTTTCAGGCATTGGCAGAGCCTTTTACATCAACCCAATTCGGTTTCTTGATTCTTCATCCAAAGGCACTGCTGCTTCATTCTCTTGCAGCTTTTCATTCAACATTTCCCCCACCCCTTCTTGCCCTTTTGGAGATGGACTTGCATTTCTGGTCACTTCCAATATGGATTCTTTAAGCATTACCGACGGTTGGATGGGCCTCCCGGAAGAAGTTTCCAACATTCAAGATTCATTCATTGCTGTAGAATTTGACACGAGTTATAATCCCTTTTTTGATGATATCAATGGGAACCATGTTGGCGTTGATGTGAGACAAATTAAATCTTTGGCTTCTGTTGACGTCGTCTCAAGAGGGATTGATCTTAAAGCTGGAAAGGAGATGACTGCTTGGATTGAGTATCGAAATTCGGAGAAGATGATCAGGGTATGGGTGGGATATTCTCAGGTTAGGCCACTTAGTCCTATTCTTGTTGCTCAGGCTGATTTTACTGGCGATTTTAAAGAATTTATGCATGTGGGATTTACTGCTTCTAATGGTGGAGGATCAGCTATTCATAGTATTAGTCGTTGGCGATTTAAGACTTTCTGGTTTCAATCTTCAACATTGTCTATGGATACAGTTGAAGAAGGGGATTGTCTGGCGTGCTTTCCAGGGGATCTTGACCTAAATTTTGATCGTTCAAGAAAATGGAAATTTGGATTGATTCTTGTCATAGGAGGTTCAGCTGTAATCACAGTAATTCTAGTTGCAGTTGCTCTGTTTGTTATTTTATGTTGCATAAAGAGGAATAGAAGCAAAGCCAAGAGAGAGCGGCACATTGAATATCATGTTGGCAGATTTCAGAGCTATAAAGTACCAAAATACTTGTCACTGAGAGAGATAAAGGAAGCTACAAAGGGGTTCAACGAGGACAGAATTATTGGTGAAGGTGCCTCAGCAGTTGTATATGAAGGACAAATTCCTTCCTGTGGAAATGTAGCAATTAAGAGATTTACTCATGGAAAAAGCATAGGCCCTTCACACAATTCATTTGATGAGGCCTGGCGTATTCCTTTTGACAATGAATTTGCTACAATGATTGGCTGCTTGAGACACAAGAACTTAGTTCAGCTCAAGGGATGGTGCTGCGAGAGGAATGAGTTAGTCCTGGCTTATGAGTACATGCCTAATGGAAGTCTGGATAAGATCCTGCATGGCCGGAGCAGTGTTACAAAGTTCCTCACATGGGAGCGAAGATCAAACATAGTACTTGGTGTGGCCTCTGCTCTGGTATATCTGCATGAAGAGTGCATTAATCAGATAATCCACAGGGATGTTAAGGCCTGTAATATAATGCTTGATGCTGAGTTCAATGCCAAGCTTGGAGATTTTGGTTTAGCAGCGGTGTATCAACGCAGTCTCGAAATGCGAGATGCTACTGTACCAGCTGGAACAATGGGATATCTTGCTCCCGAGTATGTCTTTTCCGGAGTTCCAACAGTGAAAAGTGATGTCTACAGCTTTGGTGTCGTGGTACTGGAAGTCGCATCAGGTAGGAGGCCAGTCGAGGACAACAGAATTGTGATTACTGATTGGGTTTGGGAATTGTGGGGGAAAGGAAAATTAATTGAGGCTGCTGATCCTAAACTGAAGAGGTGCTTTAACAGGAAAGTAATGGGAAGGATGCTCATGGTTGGACTTTGCTGCACGCACCCTGATCATCAGAAGAGGCCTACCATGAGGGAAGCTGCAAGGATGCTTCAAGGGGAAGCTCCAATCCCTTCTTTGCCACCAAGGAAACCAACAGTTAGGATTCAATCTGTTCTTCCAGGGGGAATACTTGAAGACATAATGAGCATTGGTGAAGAAGCAGATGACAACACACCATGGTCCACCCCTAGAACTCAATTCAGCAGGAACTAGCGCCAAAAGCATTCCTTCAAATGCTCGAGAGATGTACAGATATTTCGCAAGCAGATATGCTCTACACATTGCTTCTACTTTCACGCGTAAAATCTGAAGTCAGAAAATTTAGTTTTATGTTGTGTTTGGTACATTGAGATTACTCACTTACCTTCACTTCCCTGTTGAATAGAACCTTTGAGATTTTCTATCTCCTCTGGGCATCTTCTAGTTTAGTCAAGTATGTCAATTTTTGTACTTCGTCACAAACACTTGAATAGGCTTTTGGTCAGACTTTCAACAGTCTGGTTCCAGAACTTCTTATGTCAGTAAGTTGTTTAATACATGGGGAGAAATGAAATACTATATGCTGTGGATATAGGTGGCTGTAATGAATCAGCAACTAGTTTGCCGTTCGTTATTAGGCATCCTACATGGTCAACCAACAAAGCAAAGAAGAGCTAGATATTGAAACAATCAGCTACAATAGTCTGCTGGAAGCATTGTCACAATCTGATAGGTCCAATTTTAGTTCCTTTTTCTCTTCATTGCTGCTCTCTGCCTTGTGTTTTGGCATCAAGACAGGTCTTGGATGTCATTTTTGTATGCCCTGTGAAGATGTATGGTGAAATCAAGACTAATCAAAGCCGTTGAAGCAAGACTCCATGGGTGTAATGATGACATTTCTCATGTTTTGGCTCTAGACTTGATTCTTTTGATTTTTGTAATTTTCTTGTTTCCCTTCTTCAAATTAATGAGTAGCTAGATAAATTACCTTATCCATATAGGCATATTACACTTTATGTCACATCATTTCTATGTGAAAAATTTTATTACCCAACTTATATGTATACATTAAAATAAAAGATTGTGATTGCAACCATGTCTCATAATGTGGCCATAATCAATTGATCACCTCGGTATTATCATCCTTGATATTGTATATATATCACGTACCGATGAAGTATTCAGAACTTTTTACAAATCCGCAAGATTCCCCTATTTTCTGTAACTATTTTTATAAGTCATAGTAATAAATTATTAAAAAATATTAATCGCACTCTACTTTTTGTTAATCGCATTCACAATATTATTTTTATCATATGGTTTTCATGTATTAAATATACAATAAAATAAATGATAAGAATGTGA